GCGACCGGTGTCTTGTCTCCCAAGATACAAGTAAATACAGAGGAAAAGAGACATTACAGGTGCGGCATACAAAACCCAGACCTACGTACATGTACACATGTTCAACAAGTCCAATTCCGGCAGCTCGACATAGAGCCACATCTCAGCGATGGTCGTGTGACTCTCGTGGTGGTCGCCTGGCCGCTAATTGACCCCGGCAGGCGACGACGAGCATATCGGGCAGTGGCGGGGCGGGAAAACCGCCGGAACAGGCGACTTCGGGGGGTGGCGTCCCGAGCTTCCGCAGGGGTCGTGGTCAACATCTCGACCGGCGGGAACTGGCGGCGGGGCTCGAGGCGGACAATGGAATGGCGGAGACGGTGGCCTCGTCAAGGCAAGGTGGGGAGGGGCGGCGGCGATGAAATTCCAGGCGGATGGGGTTCGAGTGAGTGTGTTTTGTGTTTTTGGTTTGCATCTGTTGGAGACCCATATTTCTCAATCCTATAGTCTACTATAAATGTTTGGTCGCCGTGCAGGTTTTGGTATGCCGTTGAAGCCATTTTTTCCAAAAAGAAATACCCTAAAAAATCTGCTTTTTACCAAGTGACTGCGTTTTTGGTCTGCCCATTGGAGAGCGTAGCCGTGCCTGTTCTTATTTAAACGCAAGCAACATTTTAGCAGGCAATAGTTCGGTTCCGCTCATGATAATTCTTTCAGATAATAGAACAAACTTCTGGCACCCGCATACAAAAATGTGTACACTATTCGGGCTCGTATAACCATGCAAGACATATAGTTATTCAACCTGGTTACCATACCCTATTGATACTCGAAGAATTTCCATGGTATATGGTGTGATCAGTACAAAGACGAACAATGTTAAAGAATAAAGGGGGAGATAAACAAATGCTTATGTGATCTAATTCTCTTCCAGGAGAGGTTTGGTTGCTTCGGTGCCACCCCACTTTCGGACACGGCTTGAAGCTAGCGCCGCCTGCAATTGTAGGGTATGAGAGATGAGCAAGGTGAAAAGCTCAACATTTTCCATGTAAATAACGTTTACATAAATATTTCTGAAATCAAACAATTGGAAAAAGAAGTCATAAGTCGTATGATATGGTTGTAACCCAACGTCTGAGTGTCCCTATCTCCCTCATGGATGAGTACCGAAGGCGGCGTGACAGTGTCTAGAAGCGGGGCACCAAGGCCCTCTTCTTGCTCCCGATGTTTTCCGCACCGGCATGGGTGGTATTTAGGATCTCACAAGAGCGGGATCCAGCTGGCGAGTCATCACCAGCGGTAGAACGGTTGATGTCAATTATGTGAGTCATCATCATTCGACGACAATTATGTGCATACTCCAGGTCATCATCATTCGACGACAATCATGTGCATACTCTGGGTCATCATATTCGAGGATGAAATCCCAACATGCAACCTTTGGTTGGATCCGTCGACATCGACGCGTTTGTTGTGATTCCTTACTGAAGGCTTCCTCTAGGGATAGTGTTTTTGTTCGTTGTTTGAACACATGCTGTAGGCTTTGTTGTAGGTTTTTGGGGAGATGTTGTCGTGAGGTGGGTCCTTCTATGTATGGCCTCGTTTTTTTTTTAAATTTGATTCGTTCGACATCATTGATAGGCTTTGCTAGGCATTGTTGAATAACTAATAATATATGACTGTGTGCATTAAGCGATGCAGATGCCAGGGTTGGTCCGCCTTTTCAAAGAAAATAAAAATGATAAGTGCTTACTCAAGATTGGAAAGGTTTTATGCCCTCTGTTCCTATATCCAAAGTTGTTAAATTGATTCGTAATAATTGCTAGGCTATTATAAAGATGAACTAACATTGAGTTATTAAATTGGTGCCTAATGAACACTTAGTTATTATAAAGACAAACTAACATCCTCCAGTTGAGTTTTTAAAAGTTGTGTTCATCACAAAATGAAAAACATGGTGACATTTGGAAGGGTGAAGGAATTTCATACCTCTGCGTTCCAATCTGTTCTCCACACTATGACGAGCAAAATCAATGTCTGAAGTGCAACCCCGCAAAGCATGCCAGCCCAAATCCCCTAAAATTGGAACAAATATCTCAAATTCACAACCGATGTCGCAGAATCATAGCATAAATATTCTTCATTTTCTATTTTGCAATTTGCGGTGCTCCAATTTAAACAACATAATCAATTACCCCAACTCCATAGTTGAACTTGTAGCCGAGGAGATATCCCAATGGCAACCCGAAAATGTAGTAGCAGCCAAGGTTGATGTATGCAACAAGGCCTTGCCATCCTCCTCCAATGGCCACCCCTGAATCATCCATCCGATCAACGTCGTCAGCTCGAGAGATGAGGTTGAGGTGGCATGAACAAAATAAAATCATCATGCTGCGAGGGGGAGAAGCATACCTGAAAGCACAGGCTGCACGCTGTTGAGCACCATGGTCAAGCCAAGCAGTCCTGCAATCTTGGAGACGGCCTGCCGGAGCTCCACATCGCTAGTGTAGATGCTGGCGAAGTTGTCTCTGAAGATCAACACGAGGGCCATGCAGAGCAGCCCAATGAGCAACGACTCGCCGATGACAACGATGACGGCGTGCATCGCCGCCCTTGGACGGCCAGAGCCCAGCTCATTGGAGACCCGAACACTGATGAGAACGTAAGCAGGGCAAGTGGTAATAGTTTAGAAAGTGAAATTTTATAAGTTCAGTTCAGTCGTTCAAGATTTCCTGAACAACACAAGAATCACCGGACAGTTTTGAAATTTGAATTAGCCTGACCTGATAGCAGCGTTGAGGCCGATGAAGATCATACCCTCCCATCCGTTTATATTCATGCTGAAAATTAAGGCACATATATTCTGTGAGCTAAGTATATATAATTAAGCATTTATTTACTACAGTATCTTCAGTTAGTTCAAAATATTCGAAAGAGAGAGTTGAGAATGTTATCAGGTTGTAATTTTGGTAGTAGGAATTACCAGACGCCAAGCGAGTCGACGGCAATCTGCGCGTCCTGGAGGTCGCCGGTGAGGACGGTGATCATGCCGAGGTACCAAATCTCAAGGCAGAGCATGACGGCGGACTCCAGCGAGAGCCTGACGAAGGCCCACATGTCGTTGAACGCCGCCATGGACCAGCCCCTCCAGCCGTCCTTGCACCAGCCGATGATGTAAGCCGCCTGGCCCAGCGCGATGGCCCAGAGCGAGAGGTCGTAGGCGAGGGCTGCGCCCGCGGAGCCCCAGCCGAGGACGGTGACGAGGACGTAGGTGACCGCGACGTGGAAGCAGAGGCCGGCGATGCCGATCCAGGCGAGCACGAGGACCTTGCTCTGCGCCTGGAGGAACTTGGCGGTGGGGAAGTTGACGGCGAAGGAGAAGGCGCCGGGCAGGATGTAGAGCGCGAAGCGGGCGGCCTCGCGCGCGACCTCGGGGTCCTGGCCGAGGGCCAGCAGCAGCGGCTCGGCGAAGACGTAGAAGGGCACCATGAGGAGCGCGGCGCCGATGAGGACGATCCAGGAGCGCTGCAGGTAGACGCCGAGCATGGCCACCTGACCGGCGCCGAAAGCCTGCCCGCACAGCGTCTCCAGCGCGCTCCCCATGCCGAGCTGCGACGTATTGGCATCAGCGGACGGCAATGGTGTGCACTATGCAGTGCGGTGCTGCCGTGTTGGGGAGAAGAGGAGATGGATACCGCCAGCGAGCGCACGTACCAGGAATCCGAGGGCGAAGGTGGCGAAGACGGAGAGGCCGATGGACGCGGCGGCGAGGGGCAGGTTGCCGAGGTGGCCGACGAAGATGGTGGTGACGGAGCTGACGGCGTACATGCTGAGCGTGGCGATGGCGATGGGCGTGCCGATGCCCCAGAGGCGCTTGGACTCCTCCCACACCATCCGCGAGGCCTCCCCCACGGTGCTCACCTCCTCCGAGTCGTCGGCGACGGACCCCATCGCTCCCTCCCTCGGCCGGATTGCAGCACTGGGTCTGGGGCTCTGGGCTGGGCGCGTCCTCTGCTTCCGCGTCGATGGTTGCGTCGGCCCTCGGCTATCTATGACTCTGATCGAGGAGTAAAGATCCACTGGGTAGGTAGCAGGAACGGCGGGAGGGCCTCGCCCTCGTGTCTTGTTTGTGACCGTGAGATTAGGCAGCTCGTCATAAGTTATGAATCCACGGGACTGGCCCCACAATGTCTTCTCTTTTTTTTTTCAGGAGGAAATGGCATATTAAGTTTTTTAGGGCAAAGCAAAAACTTTATAGATTAACGGTGCTCACGCATGTCACCTGATGTACAAACAGCCAGTTGGGACGGTACATACGAGTCCCAATCGATACAGTTATTTGGTAAACACATACAACCTATTTTAGCTAATTCATGTGCTACGGAATTTGCTTCTCTTCGACACACCGAGATATATTGCTTGGAAAACCACATCTTGAGCTGAAACTTTATGTCCTCAATTGCAGCTGCAAACTGTGAGGAGTCCACCTTACGAAGATTCAATGCATCCACTAAAAGCTGGGAATCTGTTTCGAACACCACTCTGATAGCACCCAGGTCAGCAACTGTTGCCATTGCTTCAACCATGGCATTGACTTCAGCAGCAAAAGCGTCATGCACATGCTCCTTCCTGCCTGCTCTAGCTGTGATAATTTGGCCTGAGCCATCTCTGACAACTACTCCCCAGCCACTGAACGAGTTCCCATGCACGAAGGCTCCATCGAGATTCACTTTTAGCATATCATCAACTGGGGGGTTCCATCTTGCCATTGGCATCTATTTAACCTTAGGGTGGAAATACTGCAGGTACTCGAGGCTGCTAGACCTGGTGAATCGGGCCACACTGGCTGCTGGCGTCGGGAGCTTTCCCTCCCTTACTTTGTTCCGATTGTTCCACTAGTTCCACCACAAGGTAATAATGTGTACCCTCTTCTTTTCATCTGGCGCCCATAAATAATCTAGCATTGCATGTACACCCTTGATATGTTCAAGCTCCATCCTTTCTTTCTCAAGCGGGAGCTCACGCCATACTTCCTTAATAGCTTTGCACTTTATGAACAGATGACCTCCATCCTCCTCAGCTCGCCCAAAGAAGAAACATTTAGTCTGTTCAAGTTTCATCCCCCGCCTCACCAGGTTATTGCATAGAGCCAGTGCTTCATGTTTCATTCTCCACACAAATAGTTGGATTTTCCTTGGGCATGGTAGTTTCCAAATCCTTTTCCACGCAGGGTCTTCAGTCTTATCGAACTGGCCAACCATGCTTGAGGACCCTCCTAGTGCTCCATTCCGTGATTTCTTGGTCAGCTCCGTGTGCAAGTTATACGCACTCTTCACGGAATGCTCGTCTTTGTGGTTATAGTGCCATGCAGTGAAATCATCCACCCCTTCACGAAGCGGGATCTGCACGATGTGCCTTGCATCGTCAGGCCAAAAGGTATCACGAACGAGCCGCTCATCCCAGGTACCAGAGATTGGGCAAATAAGTTCGCTGACATGGGTTAAGAGGCTACCTCCCCTTGGTGTAATAACCTAATGTGACCAGGCCCTCGGGATCCAGGGGTCCGACCAAATCTGCACTTGGGCACCGTCACCAATCCGCCAAATATAACCTTGTTTGACAAGTTCCAGGCCCTACAGAATACTCCTCCAGGAGTATGAGATACCGTCCCTCGGAATGGCTTCCAATATATGACCTTGGGGGAAATACCTTGCCTTCAACAGTCCAGCACACAAGCTATCCTGATTCTGTAGTAGTCGCCATGCCTGCCTCGACAACATGGCCATATTGAAGCTATGCATATCTCGAAACCCGAGACCGCCCAAAGATTTCGGTTGGGTTAGCTTCTCCCAACTGATCCAATGCAATGTATTTTCTCTATCTTGTTGACTCCACCAAAACCGCCCCAACAAAGCATTCACTTCAGAGCAGAAGGTTTTCGTTAGGTCAAAACATTACATGGCATAGGTGGGTATTGCTTGCGCTACAATTTTAACCAATGCCTCTTTACTTTCTTTTGCCAAGAGCCTTTCCTTCCAACCATATACACATCCACATATGTTGTCTTTGATGTATGCAAATGTTTTCCTTCTAGACCAACCAATATGCACACACAAGCCAAGGTATTTTTCATTCCAGTTCTCACTCTGAATTTCCAAAGCTTGCTTGATTGAATCCTTGGCCGCCTGTTCTGTGTTGTGGCTGAACATAATTACTGACTTTTCGACATTGACGCACTGTCCAGAACACTCATACAATTTTAGGATATTGTGCAATGCATCTGCTTCCTGTTGATTAGCCTTGAGTAGAAGGATGGAATCATCAGCAAATAAAAGATGTGACACAGGTGAAGCTGAGTGGCAGATTTTGATGCCACTGATCGTCCGTTCCTCTTTAGCAGCATGCAGTAGTGCAGAGAGCCCTTCCACACATATTGACAAATAGATATGGCGACAATGGGTCCCCCTATCTCAACCCTCGGATGGGGAGGAATTGGTCGGTGGGTTTACCGTTCAATTTGATCTGGTACCTCACTGAAGTCACACATTTCATTATTAACTCGACCCATCCTCTCCGGAAACCCAACTTTCGCAACATCGCCTCCAAAAAGTTCCACTCGACCCTGTCATAGGCCTTACTCATGTCTGCCTTCACTGCCGCATAGCCATCCTTTCCGCTCCTCTTATTCAGCAAGTAGTGTGAGATCTCATAAGCAATCAACACATTATTGGTGATCAATCTTCCGGGTACAAATGCGCTCTGATTATCGGAGATGATGTCAGGCAGCACCATCTTCAGGCGGTTTGCAAGGACTTTTGACACTAGCTTCTACAACACATTACATAGGCTGATAGGGTGTAGATCTTTAATTTTGTTTGGGTTCTTCACCTTTGGAACAAGCACCACGAGGGTATCGTTCCATCCATCCTTCATATCACCCCCCTTGCAATACTTTCAGTACCTCCTCAACAACATGGTCGCCCATGAACTGACAATGTCTCTTGAATACTATGGAAGGCATGCCATCAGGCCCCGGGGCCTTCAAATCACCAATGTGATCTAGAGCTGCCTTGACCTCCACCCTGCTGAATTATGCCTCTAGTATTGCATGCATTGCAGGGGTCACCCTCGGCTTGACTTTGTTGATGAGCTCCATGGTGCGGTTGCTGGTGGTGGATGTTAATAGTTCCTGGAAAAATGAACACACATAGTTAGTTAACGCCCCTTGAGGGAGTCCACCAGAAATCAAAACAGTAAACGTATTACACGTGATGAAGGGGAGAAACAAGGTGGCACTCCTAGAGACACATGCCCCAGGGCCTATCTCCGCGGAGTTCTGCCATTGGTCGTCCCAATCGATCATCTTTGACCATCGGGATTACTCGGCAAGTATCCGGCATGCAGGATGGGCTGCCTTGCTGTTAGACCCGATAATTGACGGATACCACTTCACACGAGTCCTGATGGACGGCGGAAGTAGTTTAAACCTGATATATCAGGACACAGTCCGCAAAATGGGGATAGACCCAACAAAAATCAGCCATAGCAATACTACCTTTAAAGGAGTAACGCCAGGCCCAGAAGCCCATTGCACGGGCTCCCTATTACTAGAGGTTATATTCGGCTTTCCCGATAACTTCCGCAGTGAAAAGTTAACCTTCCACATCGCTCGTTCCAAAGTGGCTATCAAGCACTACTCGGACGTGAAGCTTTTGCTCACTTTAACGCAATACCGCATTACGCTTCCCTCATGCTTAAGATGCCCGGTCCACGTGGCATCATTACAGTAAATGGAAATATTGAGCGCTCCTTGCGCGCGGAAGACCGCTCGGCTGCCTTGGCAGCCGTACACTAAACGGCCTCACCAACTAGAGCATCTGACATGTCATTAAGACCACGGATGCGGTTAGATGATTCCGGTGCAACTATATATAATTGGTATAGGTTTGATGGCTATACCCCTATAACAATACAAGGGGCTCAACGCGTGTAAAAAAGTGGCAATTAGGCTCAACTTTACTCATCTTGAACTGTACATGGTTTATTTAGTATAACCTACCTTTTGCACGACAACCTTTCAGCTAAATTCCTCTCTTTTACAGATGTCCATCGTGGTACACCTGTCCAGGATACGGCACAACGGAGACACGGGCGCAGACGTGCAGTAGGGACCCGTTCCAAGGATTCTTTTTAGATTAAGACCCTGCGTAAACCTTTTTTACTGTCTCTTGTTGATACACATCCCCCGGATTCTCAGTACAATTGAGAAGGATGCTGACGTATTGGCATGTTGCCACGTTAGAATATTGCACGTACCTGGACACCAGGGGATTATTAGAAAGGGCACCGTTTAGCCCGGTTTACAGCATAAAGACCGAATACCTTAGGGAGTGTTCGGCGTCGTGAGTTTGGCCTTATATGCATCAGCTCCGAATCATGTCTTTGGTCAAATGTTGGGTTTGCCCGGCTCCTGTGTTTTGCTGCCTTATGTTCCGCTCTATCGGCTAAGGCGGCACCAGGAGAACTACTGCGATTGTGTCCTGGTTCATCCGGACGAGCACCTCAGTAGAGAAAGCCGAAAACTGACTGTCATGATATAGCGTGAGACTGGTCAACCACTCGATGACCTAGCAGAATCTTTTGGATTCCTCCGCCTTAACGAAGGGCCATTTCCCATACAGGCATGTACGCGCCCCGAATTCGGATGAGCGCGGAGCCACCAGGGGCTATATAGTAGCCCCACTGTCAAACTCCTCTGGCTAAGTGAAAGTGTTAAAGCATTATAGTCTGATTGCCTAGTTCGCTGCGCTATCACCTCCTTAATGGACCAAGACGTTGGATCAAGTGTGAACATGCGTCTTCTGCGAGCACCCCCGCATTATATGCGTGGGGGCTGAAGCCGACGACTCCCATCTTTCAGGTTATATACATACATACATACGGCCGCACAG